CACAATCATGAAATCACAAAATATCAAGAATTGGGAGTTCAAAGGTCATCTATTTACTCACCAACACCTAATTGAATAAGAATCCTTTCTGTAATATCCTTGAGAAGGGGTTATCTAGTCTCCATGTGAAGACCTCTAAGGTCTTCGAAGCCACTTACCTTCTGAGGAAGATAAGAACTAGAGCATAACTATTGATCTTGATGATCTTTTTCTTCCCATTTTCTCCCTGATGAACAAGCATTTATTTTCTTCCATACCCCCAATTTAAAAAAGAAAACCCTTCTACCAAATACAAATAGTCAAGCAAAACAAATTTCCACGTTGTCTGTGCCCACAAAACATGTGTCTCATTCTGCATCTTACCAGCTGATTTTATTTTAAAAAAAGAAAAAGATATAACTCATTGGCCTGGCCTAAAGGCTGTGACCACAGAGCCCAAGATATCCCAAGACTGGCTTTATTCTGAAGGCAAATTAAGTCTCTTTTGTGACAGTATTGGGTTAGAACTTACTTAATGGGATCAGTCAGAGCATGAGACAAAACCCTTTGTAGTCCTTTTCTTCGTCACCCTTTCCAGGTGACTCCTGAGCCAGAAATATTCACTAGGGAGAAGCCTGTAAACTCCTTTCTTGATTCCACTGGGAAAGAACTAACTAAAATAGAAATTTGACACAAATGTCCTCCTCCTGTACACCCCTCAAGATCTCAGGCAATTCAGTGAGCTTTGAGGATGTTCTTCATGCTTCTGATTAGCTTTTGGGGACTCAAGGCCAAACTTTGCAACGTTGAAGGTCAATTTAAGGCAGTTATTGGAAAAGTGCAGATATTGCTAGAGTCACCTCCCTGTTCCTTCTGAGCCAGAAAGGGCAGCCTATGTTGGAACTCCTAAGCCCTGTACTTCCCCCTTCTTCTGTATCCATCTAAAAGCCCCTTTTATCCAAGAGGAGCTAATCTAGGACTGATATCAGCCTTAAACAAACATAATCTTAGGCTTGCATTAATTACAACAATAGTTAGCAATTATATAGTATTTTACAAATATCCTTTCATTTGATCTTTACAGTAACTTGGGAGGCGGGTGCTATTATCATCCCTATTTTGTTCAGTTGGTTTTTGTTTGTTTCAGTCGTGTTCAACTCTTCATGACCCCATTTAAGTTTTTCTTGGCAGACATATTGGAATGGTCTGCCGTTTCCTTCTCCAGCTCATTTGACAAGTGAGGAAACAGAGGTAAACAGAGTTAAGAGACTTGCCCATGGTCACACAGCTAGTAAGTGTCTGAGGCACTTTGTCCACTGAGAAATTGAGGCAGAGAAAGGTTAAATGATTTGTCCAGGTCACAAAACTACAAGTGCCTGAGGCTAGATTTGAACTCAGGTCTTCCTCACTACAGTTGATGACTGAACAACTTCCTGACTCCTGACCCAGTGCTCTATGCACTGCCCTATCTAGCCACCTAGCTGCTTTAAAAGAATCACTGTGTACTATGCTGCCCTTGTCAGATGACAACTGGAGTATTGCGTTCAATTCTGGGCACTCCAAGTTAGGAAGAACATTGATAAGATGGGGGTCATCTGGAGGAAAGGCAACCAGGATGAGGAAAGGACCTTGACATCATGATGTGTAAGGATTAATGAAAGGAACTTTCATTTGTTTAGTCAAAAAAAGAGAACACATGTTGTATAACACACACATATACATGTGTATCTATATGTGTATAAGTTACTTTATAGGTATAGTTATGTATATGTGTTCACATGTGTTTATATAAACATACATGTCATGTATGTATTTATTTGCAGGGCAGGCAAACCACCACTCCATGACTAGCTTCAAGCATTTGAAGAGCTGTCAATGGTGAGAGGGATGGGATTCTTTCTGCTTGGCCCCAGAGGGCAGAACAAGTATCTATGGGTGGAAGCTGCAGAGATGCCGATTTAGGCTGCTCCATAAAAGGACACTTGTTTTCTCACAATTAGAGCCACCCAAAGCCTGATGGGCTGACTGACTCTCAAAAGAGCTCTTCAAACCCAGGCTGGATATTGTAGAGAAGATTCTCAGCCAGGTACAGGATTAACTTGATGGCCTAAGATCCCTTCTAACTTTTAAACATGTGTGACTTCCTTGCCTAGGCTGATCTGCACAGGTCATCACCTCATGTCCCAATCCTGGGTCCATCTGGCTTATTTGAACTAGAATGTGAACTCCCCAAGGGAATGCCTACAGCTTAGTCTGCCTGGTTGTTGGCATTTGGCTCCCCATTGCAGCGTTCCCAGTGGCTGTATAAACTATGGACACAGGGCCTTGGAATTCCTTAGCAATAATAACAGCTCACATTTATATAGACTTCTAGATGGACACAGTGCTCTCCACCAAACCAAGTGCATTGTCATTCTTATTTTATAGGGAATGAAAGCAAGGCTCAGGAAGATATAGCAACTTGCCCAGAACTAACAGAACTAAGTCTCATATCTGCATCAGTGACCTCCCAAGGGAAAGAAACAGTATATTATAGTGGGAAGTCCAAAGATTTGAGGCCAGGACACCTTGCTTCTAATACCTTTTATTTCACTCTACCATTTGTGTGACCTTAAGCAAGTCACATTGGCCTCAGTTTCCTTTTCTGTGAAGGGAGAGAGAAGTACTACATTATCTCTAAGGTCCCTTCTGTGCAATCAACATGCATTAATTAATTGCCTACTATGTGAAAGCTAGGTGGTATAGGGCAGCTTGGTGGCATAGTGGGTAGAGTGCCAGGACTGGAGTCAGAAAATCCTCTTGCTGAGTTCAAATCCAACCTCAGGCACATACTAGCTGTGTGACCCTGGGCAAGTCACTTAATCCTATTTGCCTCAGTTTCCTCATCTGTAAAATGAGCTGGAGAAGGAAATGGCAAACCACTCCTGTGTCTCTGCCAAGAAAATCCCAAATAGAGTCACAAAGAGTTGGACACTACTGAATAACAATAATTATGTGTCAGTCACTGTGCTGAGGATCTGGGGACACACACATATACACATACACAGTGCCTCAAAGAGTTTACATTCTTTAGAAGAATACAACATGTTGAACATATAAAAGTATACAGATAAAATATTATATATATACACACAATTATACATACATACATACATATATACATACACATATATACATATATACATATATGTATACATATATATGTATACATATATATGTACATATATACATATATATGTACATATATACGTATATATGTACACACACACACACACACATTTACCAGACTTGGGATTACATCTGTGTAGAGAGCTCCAAGTAGGCTGTTTCATCTAATCTAACAATGCAGGCTGGCACCTGCTTTCCAACCTATAGTCTTTGAAAAGTGTTCTAGGCTAGGGGAAGTTAAATGACTTCCCCAGATCCTGTAGCCTCTAGTATTTATTATGCTGCTTCTTATACAAAATACATATAAAATATATATGTTGAGGGAAGGGGACAATCAGGAATGGTGGTGCTTGTGATGAGCTGTGAAGGAAACTAGGAATTCTAAGATATGGAGTGAGAAGATAGTACATTCCAGACATGAGGGACAGCTGATGCAAAAGTGAGGCGACAGAAGAACGGAGTGCCGCGTTAGGAAGAGAAAAATGGTCCAATGTAGCTGGATTGATCATTTATGTGAAGAAGAAAGGGATTGCTCCCTCCCTCAACGCTACCTCCCCTCCCTGCCCAGCCCCCACCTCCAACCTACCAGAAGAATTTCAATACCAAACCTGATCTTTTTTTCTGGATCCAAATGGGGTGTTTTCTTCTCCTTTCCCCGTATACAACCAGACAGTTCAGCTGGGTTTTTTCAGCACCTATACACAGAAATAGTTCTCCCCAGCTCCCACCCTAACCACCCTCCCCCACCCCGCCCCGGCTGTTCTAAAAGTAAATTATCTGGGTAATTTCCTGTAGTTCCCATTTCTCTTTAATCGGGTCGAACTATCCACTGACCGGTTCCCCTGTGTATTTCAAAGCTGGTTACCCAAACTCCTCTCCAAGAAAACGCCCTGAAATGCAGCAGTCTCTGAGCTGTAGTTCGGAGCGCGCCTGGAGAGATCGCGAAGTCAGTGGGGTCGGGGTTTAGGGCGTCTTAACCACACAGAAGCTCACTCCACACCTCTCATTCTCGACCCCCGCCTCTTGGATCTAATGGGGATGGGAGGGGGGTCGCTTAGAGGTTGGGGGCTGCGCTGGAGCTCTAGGGCGAATACGATCACCTAACAGCAGTGAACTAGGGGAGGCTGTCTGAGTTAGAACATGCACCCAGAGGTTAGCTTGAGGTGGTAGGCAGTCGCGGAGGCGGGGGGTGGGGGGGTGGGGGAGACGGAGAGGATAGAGCCCAGAAAAGAATCGGAGTAGAAAGAGGCTGTGCCAAAGTATCCCGCGTTCTCTTTCTGGTCCGAGAATCTTTTAGACCCGTACCCCAAGTTCTCCTCCTCTCTCTCGGCTTCCCATTCTCCTTCCCCAAAAACCTTTGCTCTCCTAGTCTTTCCTCTCACGCGGCTATTTCAGTAGGAGTGAAAGCGGCTGCACCTGTTTTAGATGAATTATGGTAGCGCTGGAAGTTAGTCTCCCCCCCCTTCTTCCCTCCCCCCCCTGCCTGTCTCCCTCCCTTTCTCCCTCTCTCCCTCCCTGGTTTGCTCCCTCCCTCCCCCCTCCCTCCTCCTCCTCCTCCTCCTCCACCTCCTCCACCTCCTCCACCTCCTGCCTCCGCCCCCTCCCGCTTGCAGTCACTCATTCACAGCCCCTGCTCAGTCGCAGCCCTTAGCCCGGAGTCCCGAGCCTCCTGCCCCTCTGCACTGGACAGCGCCGCCGGACGGCCCAGGACGGAGCCCCCCCCCTCCCCGCTCCGAGCCCCGGGAGGGCGCGGCGGAGGCAGCAGCGGAGGCGGGGAGGAGCCGGGGCCGGAACAAGGGCTGGGCCGGGGGCGGGGACGCCGGGGTCCGGAGGAGCCGAGAGGAGCGGAGGACGCGAGAAGGAGAAGAGGCGAGCGAGTGGAGCGGGGAGCGAGGAGCCGGAGCCCGAAAGGGAGCCCTAGCCCAAACCCGAGCCGGAGCGGGAGCCGCCCCCCACAGTGCGATGCCCCAGAGGGGTTAGGGCGCCGGGCGCCGGAGCCTAGAGCCGAGCGGCGCTGCCCCGGGGGGAGGGGGAGGCGGCGGAACCGGAGCCGGAGCCTGAGCAGGAGCAGGAGCAGGAGGCAGCGGCGGCAGGGCCGGGGCAGCGGCCGAAGCGAGAGCCCCATGCCCCGGGCGGGCTGAGGGATCCGAAACCCGGAGCGGAGCCTTGGCCCGGACAGGTAATGTTCTGGGGCCCGGGTGGGGGGCAGGAGGTGGGGCGGTGGGGGCCCTGGGGTCCGGGGGGTGGAGTGGGCAGGGAGCAAGAAGCTCGCGCTCGCTCGCTCACTCACCACTCACTTTGTGTTTGCAAACTGCCGGGAGACGGAACTGGGCCGGGCTTCGTGCTGACTTTTTTTTTAATCTTGAGATGGGGTGCTTTGCCGGGCAATGACCACACTGCGCAGATACCCGCACCCTTTACTCTAGCACCCCCTTTCCTGCCGCTCCCCCCCTCCAGACTGAGCCTAGTCCTAGCGTTGTAGAGGGAACAGGTGGGGGCAGCCGGTCAGTGGGGGCGGGGAACCATCGGAGTCGCACCCCCCCATCCTGGGAAGAGCCTACTTATCCCGCCCCCACCACATCCCCCCCTTAACACCAACACCACCACCACCAGGATGCCAAGGCGTCAGCCCCGCCTCCTCCAGGGCTGGGTTGGTGGAGGGGGGGGAGGGGGAAGCGGACCCCCCTGGAGCCGGGAGTCAGACAAAGACAACTTCCCGGCTGAGACTTCGCTGGACTGAAGGGAGAGTGAAATACAGGGGCCTGTTCCGTCCTCCCCATCCTCCCTAGCCCCCCACCCCACCCGGTCTGTGCCGGACTCTCCCTATAGGGCAGAGCTGTGATGTGGAGTTTGTAATGCAACCTCGAGCCAGGAGCCGCTCAAGTTTCCTTAAGAAAGGGATCTGGTCTTGCGAAGTCCGAAACTCTGGAAAAATGGATTCCCATGCATCTATGGATAGTGTACGATCTTAAGTCGTTCCTCCACCCCCACCCTATACTCTGAATCAATCTCCTAGTTGGGGCAGAGATGGAAAGGAAAAACTTCCCGAAGACCTGGGAGTCTCCAGTTAGGGAGGTCCCTCTGATGGGTTTGAAGGGAAGGACTGAGCTGTCCAACTGATCCCCTGGCTCCAAACGCCCTTATCCATGATGCCCCCCTACCAGGTTGGTGGAGAGAGGCAAGGGGGGCTTTGCAGGGAGCTGGACTAACGGGGACAGCTGCCAGGCCGGAATCCTAGCAGGGAGGAGTATTCTGATGTGTGTGTGTGTGTGTGTGTGTGTGTGTGTGTGTGTGTGTGTGTGTGTAGGGGGAACCTAATAAGACAGCCCCCCCCCACCTACTTGTTGCCTTGGGCTACAGCCTTCTGGCTCTCGATTCCAAACAGTGCCCTCCACTATGAAGTCTTCACTTTCCTCATCCTGTCTCCCTTAAGCCCTATCTTATGTCAGAGAAACGAAAAGCAAACTTGGAGTGCGCCAGGTCCCGGACTGGGGTGTGAGGATGTTGGGCGCTTGAGAACGTCCGTCCGTCCAGGGTTAGGTACCTAAGCTACCTAATAAGTGTCTAACAATTCCCCTTTTCCCTATTTCTCAGTCCTTCCTCTCTGTACCTCGACTTCTCCCCAGACCCCCGAAAGTTTGTCATTTCGTCCGAAGCGGATTCTGAGCTTCGGGACTGCTCCGTCTTCCCATTCACGTGAAGATGAGAGCCCCCCCCCGCCCCGCCCCAGGAGATTGTGAGAATGAGTGAAATGGGCGGGGGAATGAGGCTGAGAGAGCAAAATGGTGACACCCCCCCAAGCATCTGACCGGAGAAATCCCCTCTCCCCTTCCTGCTCTTTCTCATCTTTCCCCCACCTACATATGACCCCCTTGTCCCCCATTTTCAAACTCATGTCGCTATCGAAAGTACTGCGTTGTAAACGGGTGCTATCTCAGTGGCTGCTTGCCAGTCCAGCAGCCATAGTTGAACCCGACAAATTTCCCTAACAACTTTCCGAATCTAGAGAGGGGGACCAACTGAGGGGACCCAGTATGGAATGATGGGAAGAAAAAGGATGAGAGACACCAGGTCTTCTCCCCCCCACCCCAGTTGAAGAAGGAGAGAACTGAGATTACTATCCAGAGAGGATTCGAGAAAAATGCTCTTTTGGCCAATGCGGGTTTTTGCCCTATTTAAGGATCATCACCCAAGTTCTTGATTCCTTCGGTCTGACCAGGCCCAATTTTTTTTTTGCCCCGACAAATAAATAAATAAATAAATAAACAAATACATTACATCTGGGGACAGGCTAAGGCTCCTTTAGCCTGGAAGTGAAGCCCTCCCTAGCATTTGTAGTTCTGAACCTTCGGAGGAAGACTGAAGTCAGAAATGATCCTAGCTAGTCCCAAGAGTCAGACTCGGAAACACCACTTTGGGCCACAGCGGCAGGAGCTTTATAGAGGAGAGGACTGGGAGCTTCGACCCGGTTCCTGCAGCCAAAGCCAAATCCAGGGAATTGAAACAATTATTCGGGAAATTAAGTCACCCGAAGTTCACTCTACTTTCATCCTGGGGATTCCGAAGAAATTGTTCCCCAAGGTCTGCAGCTCTTCTGGGAGCCCTGGGGCCATACTGAGTCTACACATACTGGCTTCTCTGGTCTGCAGTGGGGATATCAGGACTTTGGGGTAAGCGCTTAGAGCAAGTTAAGTCTTCCAGCTCCAGCTCTTTTCTTGGGTCTCTCTACTTTTCTTCTCCCGCTTGGGGTCAAGCGCCACCCAAAGGCCCGGGATGCGGCGGGCGTGGGCAGGCCGAAGTATTGGGATATGGCTATTCTCGGAGATTGCGGAAGCCTACTCACCCTGGGTCTTCGCGGAATGTCAGCACCTACTTGAACAGGCAACGGCCCGCATCTCTACTGTCCCGGCTTTTTGCCCCACAAATACTACAGGTCCTCTCCTACTCCCCCCACAGAAGGAAGCTGTTTTGAGAGGATGTGAAGGTTTTCATTGTTTTTAAGTTGAAAAAACTTTGTTTTGAAATTTTGCTGCTGCAGGCCAAGAGCATCTTTTGTCACCTTGCAAGAGACACCCCCAGACGCAGAAGGAAGTAAATTCGTTCCCTTGGCAGCTTTTTCTCCTGGGCTGCCTCAGTCTCTTTCTCCCTTCAGTTTCTTGAAAATCTGTCTCTGGATCTCTGTCTTTTTCATCTTCGAACTCACACTCCTGCCCACTGTGGGTCTCGGGTCAGGATGACAATGCAGGTATCTTACTGTTTCCTCTACACACACTTTCAACCCTCCCCCCATCCTCAAATACATGCACTTTTAGGATTCGGAAAGAAGAGCTTAGTTCAGGCGAGTTCCGCCTTGACAAGTCCCTGCTCCTGTCTTCCTCATGCCCCACCCCACCAGCACTCATTGCCAATCCCCCCCCTCCCCAGTTCCTCCACTGTCTTGAGAAAGGGGATGGAGGGGTGGGTGGAAGCCTTGGGGGCAGGGCACCTTAGGGAAAAGAGCAGATAGCACCTTCTCTCCTGGCATCGACCCCAGGGATTTTTTTTAACCAACGTTTTTTTTTTAAACTTTTTTTTTTCAAACGTCCCAGATGTTTATCTCGGGAGCTGAAGGACTGGGGAACCCTTGAGCCCTGCAGGCTGAGAGAGCCTGGCATTGGGAAGGGGAAACGCCCATGGGCGGGAGCCAACTTGCATCCGGGCTGCCTTGCCTCTACTCCCCAGCAACCCCCTGCAAAGTTAAAACGGAGCTGGTCTTGTCAGTCCTTTCTCCTTCATCCCACCCCCAAAACATCTCAATTCTCCCATGGGTCTCAGGACATTACTGACCTAGGCTTAAAGAAGTAAGGGCCTTGCTTCAGGTCATGCCTGGTGAAGTTAGCACAGTAGGAGAGTAGTCCTTGCCCCCTAATACCACCCCCCCACCCCCCCCCCAAAAAAAAGTCCTCTATGCCGGAGCTGCTTTTGATCCAGAGAGCTCCTCTATGGACTTATATGAAGCTTCTACCGTATGACAAGGGAGTATGGCAAAATGTATAGGACATTCCTTTTGTTCAATGCCAATCCCTATTCCTCTTCTGTTAGGTCCATGGTATTCACTATCTACCCTTAAAAATCTGTAAGCTTGGATGAGAGAGATTTGGGTTGGAGAGGAGGTGAGGTGTTCAAGATTCAGCTCTTCCAAGAAGCCCTCCCAGACTGACTTCACCCTACACATTCCACTTAGGTAAATGCTCTAATCCTCTTCTGGAATTGTGTGACAGTGGAAAGAGCCTGCTGAAATAGGAGCTGGAGTATATTAGTTTAGATTCTGCCTCTCCCATTTATTGCCTGTGTGATCGTGAGCAAGCCCCGTTAGATGGGGGGGGGAAGGTGAGGCATGGGGTCTACTAGCATCTAACACAATGCCTGACGTAGTAGGTGCTTAATAAATGCTTGCTAATTCATTTATTCCAAGGTTCTTTCCAGCTCAGAATCTATTATGATCCTGTGAATTTGTTACTCAGATATTTCATTTGTGTGCCTTCTCTCTGTCTCTCTGTCTCTGCCTCTGTCTGTCTCTCTATCTGTCTCTCTGTCTCTGTCTCTGTCTCTCTCTTCCTCCATCCCATATTATAAACCCCTACATGGAAAGTACCCTGTCTATGATGCTCTAGCGAGCTGGGCACCACAGCAGGCTTCCAGTCCCAGCTCTGACACTAACTGAATGTGTAACCTTGGGCAAATCAGTTGATCTTTTGGGCCTCGAATTTCTGTATCTGTAGAATACGGATATTCAACAAGATGGCATCCAATATCCCTCCCAGCTCAAATATTTTTGCTTCTGAATTGTAATGTTCTATTTTCTGAGATCCCTTAAATCAGATATTCCACCAGCTATGTTCCAATATTCTGTGTTCCAGGGTTTCCCCCTCCCTCACCTTTTCTCCCCCTCAGTTTGACATTCAATGGTTCTGTGATTCTTCTACACCTCTCATAACCTCTGAAGATTATACCTAACAGCACATTCTAGGCACATAGCTTCATAATATAAGTTAAATTCAGGTGGATGAGAGCTACAGTAGGAGTCCAATTGGTCTAAGACCTTCAGGACAGGAGGCAACCATGAAAAGAGGAGAAAGCAAGGGCTAGTGGGACTTCCTGGACACAGATAAAATTGTGACTGTAAGGACTCAAGCTTTT